GCACTGTCGCGGTTCGACTCCCGCCGAGGGTGTTGATAAGACCGATGCGAGGTCGAAACTGCAGTCCACTTCAGCCGGAATGAGAACAACTTTTGGGAAAGCAAGGTTGTGTGAAATTCAATGAAAACGTCAGCTCAGCTCATATCATTGTGGGAAAATTCTTTTTCTACCACTCATTCAGCACCTTAAACGAAATTGGGTGAATACATCTCATACAAATTAAAGGTACTCCAACATCAATCTATTAAGGGATTCTTCGAGACCCGGCTTTTCTACAGGACCTGAAAATGCCTTTGCGTTAAAACATTTTCACTTCTGGAGTTTGATCATCCGGCTGGAAATTCTACTCATATAAAAGTGAAGAAATGGCAGCGTTAGTTCGTGAAATTTCCTTAATATATACGAAGGCAATTTGGGTTTCGAGACCAGAATGTCGCGGCCTCTATTTTTGTTGCGGTCCCCTTTTGATACTAGACTACTGTCTGACCTCGTTTTCGCAACTTGGTCGTGTTCTCAAGGCGACTAAATAGAACGCACCTTACCCTTAGTCGCCTACTGTTGTAGTTGTAATTCCAAGCGTCTGACCCCGGACTTGGTATATTATCAGACGTTTCACTGGCATCGTAATCAGCAACTTCTGACTTGTTTATATTCAATGATAGATACGAAGAGAAACTGGCTTTCGATAAATTTCTATAGAAAACATTGTTAGAGAGACTTTCATTTCGTATAAAAGTGAATGAAGAAGTGATTCGTTCGTAGATCTCACAGGATGAAGACGAATGAATCTCGTTGTAATGCAGCTGTTTGGCTTTTATACGATATTCATTTTGACGCAGTCCCAGTGTTAACGTGAGACTTTTACAAGAATGAGACCCAGCTCTGAAGATGTCCATCGAATGATGGACAAAAGCTCAACACTTTTTCACCCGAAACGAGGGAGAAAGTCCCGTGGACTGGGTCAACATGAACATCGTCTAAAAGCCAAACGGCTTCAGTACAACAAAATTCATCCGTCCTCATCTGGTAAGATCACTATCATGCGAACTGAAAGTCCCCCTAGCAATATATTCAATTACTCCAGAGGTGTGTCCTTTTTGGCGATTGTAAAGGGGAGATACGAATTACGAGAGGGTATAGAATAGGTAGATATATACCAGGATAGGAGTGGTAACACAACAGTTCGGCAGAAAGTTGGACATCACTTGTCACTTTGACGAGTTGTAGCTTGGAGTCAAGAATGACAAGACTCACTGATGACGCCGACTTCGATGCCGGTGAAACGTCCGGAAATGTATCAAGTCCATAGTCCAACGCTGGGAATTACGATAACTACCATAGCACAGGACTTTGGACAAGGCGCGCCCAACTAGGAAATCCCGACGGTACGACTAAGTTGTTCATCGTAGTCAGAATATGATATGGCAAAAAGGCTTGGCCTTCCTTCAAAATTCACATTTGCCCTGTGACCCAAAATGCGCTCGTGGCAGTGTAGCCGAGTGGTTCGAGTGGTTGGTGTGTCAAGCTCCCATCCTGCACTGTCGCGGTTCGACTCCCGTTGGGGGTGTTGATGAGACTGATGCGAGGTCGAAACTGCAGTCCACTTCAGCCGGA